CAATCAAAAAGGAAGATCTTTAAGTGGGATTTCAAGGTGAGGAAGGAGGGGCAAGGCAGAGGGATTGAGGGAGAGAGTTCCAGAGTTTTGGGGCATAGTGGGTGAAGGCACGGCCACAGATGGTGGAACGGAGGGCATGAGGGACAAACAGGAGGCCAGAGCCAGCCGAGTGGAGGCAGCGGGTGGTGGAGTGCCAGGTAAGCAGTTCAGATAGGTAAGGAGGTGCAAGGGCATGAAGGGATTTGAAAATGAGTGAGAGGATCTTCAAGTTGATTCACTCGGTGATTGGGAGCCAGTGGAGCCTGGCAAGGACTGGTGTGATGGGGGTATGGAGGTTTGTGCGGGTGAGTATCCGTCCAGCGGAATTTTGGATTAATTGGATTTTGTGTATGGTGGAGCTGGGAAGACCAGTGAGGAGAGCATTGGAATAGTCCAGCTGGGAAGTGACGAAGACATGGACGAGGGTTTCAGCTGCATTGGTTGTGAGGTACAGACGGAGGCGGGCAATGTGGCGGAGGTGGAAAAGAGCGATCTTGGTCAGAGAATGGATGTGTGGTAGAACTGTGGTAGGCACTATGCAGCACTGAAACAAGCTGTCCAGAATTGCTTCCTCATTTCCTAACCATTCCAGCCTCAGATCCCCTTTCGAAGTTTGATACTAATGGGGTCTGATTTTTCTTATTCACGGAATGGATGGCAACACTAATTGGAGTCTATATGGTTTTTCTGGGAGCTGGCATTAGAGCAAACAATTTCCAGAGGCCTCCAAGGTGTGAAGACCAGTTACATACATGTGTGGTTTATGACCACGAGTGCAATGTATAAAATTTGGGCTGATTGTTATATACTGTATTTTTGTGGGATATTGCTGTGCGCAAACTGACTGCTGCAGTCGCCTATGGGTTACACAGTTACTACACATTATAGTAAATCCTTTGAAGCATTTTGAGACATTATCCCAACATGAAAGGGGCTATATCAAATGCAAGGATTATTATTTTATTCTAACTGTGGCCAACATATGTAAGTAAATTAGGCGACGGCTGAAATATCTTTTGATGGATGGTATACCTTAGCTCCTTACACCAGATCCAACAAAAAGGTTAGAACAATGCATATTATGGACAGTCCAGCCTAGCAGTACAATAATTGGATGTTAGCAACCACTGAATAATCCTTTTGTTAGATAGCATCTGAAAGGATTGAAGAGATTTAAAAGAGGTGCTTGTGTGATAGGTTTTCTTTGATACATTTTCATTTGTATCAGTGATATGGTTCTAAAGTCTTAATTGAATTAAGTTGATTTCTCTACAATTAGATATTGTATTGTGTGTAATAATAGTAATCCTTGTGTTTGATATAGATTACATCATTGAGACTTCTGTAAACGTTTCACAGAATATACTGTAAAGTGATATGGGCGAACGTAACAGCCAATTTGCACTCAGCAATGTCCACAAAAACAGTTGTGGAGTAATTGATGATTTTTTTTGTGGGGGGGTTGGGGGGGATTGTTCGCCAGGTGTATATATACATATAACAGAAATATGGGCTGAAACTTATGTGCTTGGAATAGCATTATTAGTAATAATTCTCACATTGACCAAATTTTCACATTGACCAAATTTTCACATTAACCAAATTTTCACACTGACCAACAGCAGTAAACAGTTATCACTAACTTCATGGGGAGATGTTCACATCAAGTCCAGTAATAACTGTTGACGACAATGATTGCATTTTTTGTCGTTACAATTCTCACAAGTGACAACATCACATTTTGTAATTTTGACAAATATTATTTCTTAACACTGGGACTCCTTGTTTTCAGTTTTTTATTATACAGTAATTTTTTTTCATTTTAATCTTTCTCTTTCTCTTTGACCGAGCCTTCAGCTCCCCTCTCGACTCTCTTCCCCCTCCTCGCTCCCTCCCTTCCCTCCCCTCACCCTGACCATTTCCCCCCTCCTCGCTCCCTCCCTTCCCTCCCCTCACCCTGACCATTTCCCCCCTGCTCGGGTCCTGACCCAACTGTGCAGCGCCTTGGGACGTCCTCCTGACGTGAAAGGCGCTTTATAAATGGAATCTTGTTGTTGTTGTTCAGTTCTGTTTATGTTACATACTTGTATGCAAAATACTGTGCTACTGAAAAGCTTTGACAAGACAGCAAATTATTCTAATTAGTGGTTATTATGACAAAATGAATGGTTAATATGAACCTTCTTCAAGATCTGACAGTTGTTTTATTTTGTTTGCTGGTGACCATGGAGATAAAAATTGATTAAAGCCGCTTGTTTCTCTTAGTGTGCAACTAATAATACAAAAGGGCAACTTCACAGTTTTTCCCTATTAATGATGGGTCAAAATATTCACCTTCACAGAACATGAACATGATTATTAAAAAATAATTTGAAACTCAATTGATGTGGTTTCTAAAGCTAATTTTCACATGTTTAAAGTAAATCTTCATTTTATTTTCTAACCAAGGAGTGAAAGAGATCTCTGCCCATATTTCTCTGTCCATTTTGTTTCTATGATTTGCCTTAATTTATTCAAAATAACTCATACATTCAGAAGTCTGACCATTGGAGCGAAACAAACATATTAGCTGATTCAAGTAAAATGGAGCATGAATTTCTTCATTCCAGATTGTTCAGGGAGCAAATTGCTGATGCAAGGTGTTAAGATGTCTCACCTGGAAGGAATAGGTTTCACACTCAAAATAGATTTACACTTTACCATATAAAATTGTTACAGAAAAGTACTGTCTTGTTTCACCAATGTGCATCAAATAAATCTCAGTGTTTCCCATGAATCACTAAACACCGAAGTTTCATGTTTTAGGATTGAGACTGAATGAAGATTGCAGTTTAACATATAAATTTTAGATTGTATTTGATCATCTTTAAACATAAGCTTGTACAATATCATATCCAGGCCACACTTGTAATATTGAATACCCCATTAATATCAAGAAAAGGTTTCAGAAGGATGTTACCATTGCATGAGGGGATAACAACAACAACAAAATTACATTTGTAAAGTGCCTTTCACGTCAGGATGACGTTCGAAGGTGCTGGAAAGCCGTAAAGTGTGACTTGAGAAGTTACAGAGTTTTTTTTCCCCTAAAGTTAAAGAGGTTAAGGGGTGACCTAACAAATCTTAAAAATTATGAAGTATTATAATAGGCTAAATAGAAAAAAGTTCTACTGGTCAGGAAATGAAGGGATCTATCTGAATGTCTCTTGGCAGGGATCTTGAGTTGATAGCATTGCCACATGATTAACAATCATTCATAACTACCACAGTCCCATTTAAACCCGAGTTGTAGTTTGAAATTCTATATTGCACAATACATTTAAGTGGAATTATTCTTACAATTGCAATGTTAATCACAATTTTACATGTCTTGTGATTTAGTATGCAGCAATTTCAATGGGATTCCTTAAGAAGTCAACTGAGTAGATCACCCCTCCAACATCCAGAAGTGTGTCATGCATGTCACCCTAACCTGCGGGAACAACTACCACCCAATGATGTTAGTTTCAGTGTGTCAGCATCATGGCAGTAACTCCTTGGTTTCAGGATTTGTTTGTTTAATTCTCACTGAGATTAATCCAAGTGCAACAGAACTCTGTGCATGTATCTTTACATAGTTCTGAAATGCAGAAAACTAACTTCCAGATTTATGCGTAATTTTACTGGTTATTTACTGGTTGCGGGAGACCAGTAAAAGGGTTTGCTTTCAGCCTGAAGACCCCAAAACATAAACTACGTAGATTGGAAGATTTGGACCTCAATCTGTCCACTCTCTCTCCTGTCAGTTGTTTTATTCATAGAGTTGGTAACAGCAGAACTATGTTGCGTTCAGACTTGAGCCACCTCTGTCGTGATTGCTGTATGAAGCATTCCTCCCACAGTGAAGACCCTTCTAATAATAATTCTTGCATTTGATATTGCACCTTATCATGTCTTGAGTCGTCTCAAGATACCTCTTGATTACTGGGGTCTGTAGAAAACCCAAGTTTCTGTCAACAGATACTTTCTGTGCATGAAACTCCGAACTTACATTTCGCCCACAAAATATAGTCAATTCACTTTACAATGTATTCTGTGAAGATCTTTGAGATGCCTCAACAATATTCTATATTTCAGCGCCTTGGGACGACCTCTCGACGTGAAAGGCTCAACACAAATGTAATTTTGTTGTACTTTGTTGTTGTTATATCAAATGCAAGGATTATTATTATATCCGCACCGGAGTGCACTCCGTGATAGGCTGCGGTCATGGCAAATGGTTTCTTTAGTTTAACTAATTTATTGGTTTTCATCGGAGGGAGAGAGCGAGAAAAAATCAAACCCGAATTTGAGAACAGAGAAGCACAGATCGGGTTTCTCAGAGATTAAAAATAGGTGATTTTCTTATAGACTCTGAACTTGCGGGTCTGTTCCTGAGAGTCTGAGAGCGAATCCCAGGAACAGACCCGCAAGTTCAGAGTCTATAAGAAAATAGACTGGGGGGGTGTGGGGGGGTGGGGGGGTGAGCGAGGTCTGGCTGTCAATCCATCAATCTCACTCTCCAAGTGGGGGAAAAAAAACTGCACCTCTCTCTGATGTCAGAGCAGAAAAACGAGAGCCATTTATTTGAAGGCGGTTTCGAGTGCAACACATTGAGAGAGAGAGAGAGAGAGAGGGAGAGAGCATCACCATCATCAGGTAGTGCTGCTGCTGCTCTCCCTGAGCACTGCCCACAACCGGGTCGATGTGCTGACCCTCTGCAAACCTCTGCTCCAGGATCCGAGAGGGAGAGGGAGGGGGGAGAGGGAGAGGGAGGGCTTGTCCTGGGCTGAGAGCACTCGGTGCTGGGAGCGGACTCCCCGGACCCGATGCTGGAGCTGCTGAACGGCTCTCGGGCCACTCGCTGCCCGGGGTCCGGGGGGTGCAATGGGACGCGGGGGGAGAGTCCGCCGCTGCTGGTGGACGCCTGGTTGGTCCCTCTCTTCTTCGCTCTCATCATGTTGGTGGGGCTGGTGGGCAACTCGCTGGTCATCTACGTGATCACCAAACACAGGCAGATGAGGACAGTCACTAACTTTTATATCGGTAAATAACCTCTTGCTGTATATATATTATTTTTTTTTGGGGGGTGGGGGGGTTTGGGGGGGGTGGGGAGGGAGGACATTCACTGTTTAAAGCACCACATCTTTTCTCGCCTTCAGGAACACTGGGCAAACTGTTGGAATTGCATTAACCCGATGTCAAGGTGGATGGTTGATGCAAACACCAATCCCCTGACAAAGATGAGCAAGAATAATAACAGCAGACCGTTCAGATAGCTTTATGGGATCAATCGTACCGCGTTGTCTTCATTTCCTCTATTTCGCCCACAAATATGCGGTCAATTCGCTTTGCAGTCTATTCTGTGAAGTGCTTTGAGATGTCGAGAAGACGTGAAAAGCGCTATATCAAATGCAAGGATTATTATTATATTATTATTATTTAGCTCTGAATATTTGAACTGCCTGTCTATCTTAGTCTGTCTGACTTGCTGATGTGGGTGTATTCCTCTTCTGGCGAGTCCAAAACACCCCAGTGTACCATGTCTTGGTGAATATTCTCATACAGCATTCTTGGTGTTGCCACATTAATGTTTTTCAGACCTCAACCTCTGGATAACCATTTAGTGACCATTTAAATGGTATCCGTTTGGGAAATTGACAAGCAAAAAATAATGTGTTACTTTGAATAATAATAATAATCCTTGCATTTGATATAGCGCTTTTCACGTCAGGAGGACGTCCCAAAGCGCTTCACAGAACACACTGTAAAGTGAATTGACCGTATATTTGTGGGCGAACGCGGCAGCCAATTGCGCACAGCAATGTCCCACAAACAGTCGTAGATTGAAAATGACCAATTTATTATTGTTTTTGGTTTTGGAGGGATTATTATTAGGCTCTGTGTGGAGTAAGGAAACTTGCCCAAGGTTTCGCCCTGACCTGCCTGGAATTGAACTCAGGTCCCTCGCTTGCAAAGCGAGTGCTCTAACCACTGAGCTACAGGACTCCATAGGTGCAGGTGGGAATGAAAAATAGATACCACCTCTTTCACACATAATGAACGCCTGGGGGTGAGGGGAGGGTAGTTGAGGAGGGTGAAGAGGGAGAAAGTGACCAAAAATATGGTCAAAAAGATATGTTTTGCGGCAATCTGTAAAGATGGGGAGGGAGGTGGCAAGATCAAGGGCCATGGATCAAGGACAAGTTTGCAGGGCTATGGGGAGAGAGCGGGGGAGTGGGATTGAATTGAATAGCTCTTTTAAAAGAGCCGACACAGACACAATGGGCCGAATGGCCTCCTTCTGTGCTGTATAATTGTATGATTCTATGATCAAGGATGTCCAGGATGGAGTTCCAGAGAGCAGAGAGCTTGATGGGGTGGATCGTGCAGGGGACATGAATCAGGAAGTATTAGTTGAGCAGGGACGCCCGATAACTTACTTATAAAGGTAACTCAAACTCCTTTCTTTTCCTTTTCCAGCCAATCTGGCCGCCACTGATATCATTTTCTTGGTTTGCTGTGTTCCTTTCACCGCCACTCTCTATCCCTTGCCCAGTTGGATCTTTGGCGACTTCATGTGCAAATTTGTTAACTATCTCCAGCAGGTCAGTGCCTGAGATTTGAATTATGTGGTGTTGTTGATATATACAGAATAAAAGTTGTGCACAAAATGTAAATTTCACTAATCCTGTTTGTTGATGAGAATGCAATGCAATGTTGAATATTACTGTTGTTTACTTTGGACTTGGTTGTTGGCAACAGACAAGAGAAATTCAAGCAGGTTTGTACAAAGTAAAGTTGAGGAAACTTAAAGTGAGAAACGAGTAGACACAACCAATTAATCCCTGAAGAACAGCTAGGAAACTGCAGTCTCTGGGTTGACCATTTCTGCATGTTTACACACTATGATGTTAACCTCCTCCCCCCTCCACACACACACATTGTGAATAATTGTAATATTAATCTTAAAATGATATTAAGCTCAAAATCATAAAAGAAGTGTGTAATAAGTCAAGTTAAAATAAGAATCAAACATTTAAAAGCTTTATTTGTACTGTGACACTTCATTCTTTTTTGTCTCCTTCACTCTCTTGTTTTTTTTCTAATTTAAATTCTTTTTTTTATTATTTTCTATCCATTCTACTTTTCTTTTAGCTCTTCTGACCTTTTGCTTTAATATTTCCACTTTAAACCCTTTCTTCTTTCAGTTCCCACTGGCTCATTTGAGAAGTGAGAGCAATTTATTTTAAATACCCAAAACAGTCCAACAAGCCACAGAAAGTAAAACAGCTTAAAGATTTCCAACTTCTGATTCAGATTTGAAAAGTTGTAGCAACAGAGGAAGGTAGTTGTCCAGCTATAAGCATCACACATATGATGGCTTTGGCATGCTATGGATTACATGATGAGAACAGTAATCTGCACATATCTGCAGTTGACTCGAATTATTGTGACTTCTCAGAGCTGTGATTGTAATGCAATCTTTAATAATTATATCATTGTATAGCTTATTTAAAAACAATTCTGTACAGGTATATTTTTTCTTGCAAAGCACAAGTTGTATTCTGGCATTTACAGCATATTCTAAAAATTCTGAAAATCCTTTTTTGTTTGTTTCACAGAAGTGTAGCAGGAAAAAGAAACAAAACTCCATGAAATTGCTACTTATCTGTTATGGTTTATTTTATTTAGCTTGTCCATTAATAGAAATGGATGTGTCAGAATGAATGTTGATTATATGTTTGCTGATTAAATATTTATTCTGTTATAAATTCCTTGGAAAGAGTAGTTTTATTGATCATAATTAATGAGGTTTTACAGACTCGATTTGCACTTATTTTATGTATCAGTCTATTTCCGCATTGTTTCTTTGCACTTTAGTGCTCAGCTTACTCAGTGACCGTGCACACACAGCTTGGCTAAATTCTTGTCCATCCAAATCTAAAGAAATACATCCAAAATAACCAAGTTTGAGTAATTTCATGTTTTCAATTTAGTACAGAGCCTCAAAGGGAAAAGGAATTGCTAAGATTCGAACACTTGATAGTTGGCCACAGAGGCTTTTGTATTGTGAAGTTGATTGTAAATCTTCAGATAAATTATTTTTTGGTCCTTTTTCTCATTTATTTTGTTTTGCAGGTTACTGTTCAGGCCACCTGCATCACTCTCACTGCCATGAGTGCTGATCGTTGCTATGCCACAGTGTACCCGTTGAAGTCACTCCGCCACCGTACTCCGAGGGTTGCTATGGCAGTCAGTGTAGGCATCTGGATAGGTAAAACTCTTTTTATTGTGGGCAGACTATATTTGTTTGTGACTCATGTTTCCCTATTCCTCTCACGCCTCCTTTCTTCCAACCAACTACAATCACACTTATATTGTCTCCCATGATTATCACATTATGCATGAAACCAATCAAACTTCATTTGTTTCTACTACATTTTCTTATCCGTTACATCTAAGAACATTAATTATGCTTAATAACTCACGTTTTTGTACCATGAGAACCTTTCACTTTTATTGAAAGGGCTGCTTTGGAATACTTTAATATCTTTTTGCACTGAAATGTACAAGAAAGAACTGAATTATGTAATTAGGTAGCAATTATGTACGCTTTGGTGAGTAATATGAAGGATGGGATTATTTGAGACTGAAAGCTGCTGAATTTTAATAAGTATTTAACTGCATCCTTTGCACTAATTAAATGATATGCATTTTGTAAGCCGGTCTAATACACTTTCACCCTAAAATAAAGTTTGGAATGCATTTTCTCCTGGCAACATGCATATGAAATAGTCAGTGAGGTACAGTACTAAAGGTACAGTAGTACAGGTAAAATCACTGTGTAGTTGAGTTGACTAAAAGCTTGGAAATTAAGACAAAGGTTGACATTCTGTATTAGGAATATTGGCTTCAAAGTTTACTATCAGTAATTTTACATTCTTATGCAATGCAGTCTATTTAATGAAAGGTGATTGGATTTATATTCAACAATTTATTGTTATCTCAGGAAACCACTGATCTTTATGAATTTATCAAGCATATTTAGTTGTCACTTCCTTATATATTGACTAGGCGATCATTTTGAAATGCCCTGACCTAATGGATTGGTTAGGAGAGGTGCAGGAAACAGCAGCACTCAGAAACCAAGCTCGGGGTTAGATCAGATTTCTCTTTGTAAGTGCACCAGTTTGGAAACTCGGACAAAATATAACTGCACACACCAGCAAACACATAAAATAACATCCATTGACAATGTACTGGAAAATCTGGGGCACCTGTATAATAGTTCTCTCTGTATTTATTTGGAAATTAACCTAAGTCATAGCTGTGTAAAAGTAATCTCTGTATTTAGAGGACATGAAAGTAATAATAATAATCCTTGCATTTGATATAGCGTTTTTCATGTCTTCTAGATGTTTCAAAGCGCTTCACAGAATATACTGTAAAGTGAATTGACTTTGGGGGCGAAACGCGGCAGCTAATTCTGCGCAGCAGGGTCCCACAAACAGTCGTGGATTGAGTGACCAAATTATTATTGTTCACTTTTGAGGGATTATTATCAGGTGTGGAATAAGGAAACTTGCCCAAGGTTTTGCACCCTGGCGAAAGTACATATTCTTATGTTCTTAACTCGGGATACAATATATAGTTTGGGACACAACATGTCATGAGGCTGCCAGAATGGTGGAAAGCGAACTGGATAGACCTTGATCTTCTTTTGCCTAGGAAATTCTTATGTTCTTACATATGAAGTAACACTGACTGACATAATATGCGCTGAATGTATACATGCACATGTAATGCAGTTTGATGCTGTGTAACTCAGTTCAATGTTATGTTGTTAGAAGATAGATGTAAAATGAGTTGTAAAATGCTAGGTAGTATTTAAAGTGGAGCTCAGTGGTTAGAGCACTTGCTTTGCAAGAGAGAGACCTGGATTCGATTCCCAGCAGGGTGAAACCTTGGGCAAGTTTCCTTACTCCACATGCCTGATAATAATCCCTCAAAAAAATTAGTCATTTCAATCCACAACTGTTTGTGAGACACTGTTGTGCGCAATTGGCTGCCACATTTTGACCACAAATATACAGTCAATTCACTTTACAGTCTATTCTGCGAAGCGCTTTGAGACATCTAGAAGACAGGAAAATCGCTATATCAAATGCAAGGATTATTATTGTAACTCACAAATAGACAGTATTGTTGAATATTATTCCACTATGAGCTAAATAAAATTCTATTGAAAAAACTGCAAAAAACTTCAACTACTGTTTTTGATCCATATAAATGACCAGAACTTGGGTGTAGGGAGTACAATTTCCAAATTTGCAGATGATACTAAGCTGGAAAAGTAGTAAACAGTGAGGAGGATAGTAGCAGACTGCAAATGGACATAGATAGACTGGTAAAATGGGCAGACACGTGGCAGGTGGCAGATGAAGTTTAATGTGGAGAAAGGCAAAGTGATGAGGAGAGACAGCATAAGCTAAATGGCAGAATCTTAAAGGGGGTGAAGGAACAGAGACACAGAGGGGTTCATATAAATAAATCTTTGAAGGTGGCAGGACAAGTAGATGAAACTATTAAAAAAGCATAAGGGATACTTGGCTTTATAAATAGGGTAATAGAATACAAAAGTCAGGAAGTTATGATGAACCTTTACAAAACATTGGTTCGGCCTCACCTAGAGTACTGTCTTCAGTTCTGGGCCACACTTTAGGAAGGATGTCAAGACATTGGAGAGGGTGCAAAGGAGATTTACCAGGATGGTACCAGGAATGAGGGACTTCATTTATCAGGAGAGGCTAGAGAAGCTAGGATTATTCTCCTTGGAGGAGAGAAGATTAAGAGGAGACTTAATCGACGTTTTCAAAATTATGAGGGGATTCGATACGGTGAATGAGGAGAAACTATTTCCACTGGCGGGTGGGTCGGTAACCCGAGGACACTGATTTAAAATAGTTGTTAAAAGAAACAGAGGGGAGGTGAGGAGAAATTTTTTCACACAATGAGTTGTTCGGATCTGGAATGCATTACCTGAAAGAGTGGTGGAAGCCGATTTGGTAACAACTTTTAAGAGAGAAGTAGATAATTATTTGGGGAGGACAAGCTTGCAGGACTATGGAGAGAGAGAGTAGGAGTGGGATTGATTTCATCTGTATAATATAATCATAGAATTATAAAGCACATAAGGAGGCCATTCGGGCCCATCGTGTCTGTGCTGATTCTTTGAAAAGAGCTATCCAAATCGATCCCACTCCCCCCGCGCTCTCCCCATATCCCTGCAAACGTGTTGAGGCGTTATATCAAATGCAAGGATTATTATTATTATAAACAGGAACAGGAGGACTGTTCCACCAGTTTATTAGATCTCAGCTGATCTTTTAAACCTAATGCCTCACTCTTTTGTCATACTCCATAAAGCCTCTTATAAGTATGTAATTTGTAGGTAATGGCCACTTTCATGCAATGTTTTAGTTTACAAGAACCAACAACAACAAAAATGTCTACTTGCAATATTCAAAGTCAGAATTATAATAGACATATGGTCCAGTAGAGTTCTTCTGATCTATACACTAGCTTGACTACACAGACTACACTGTGCTACAGTCAGCTGGCGCGGCCACCAGGTGTAACTGCAGTGAAAAACGCAAAACTGAAATACATTTTAGGTCATAACTCATGAACGATAGGAGATACCCGAAAGCAAATATGCCTATGTCACTCTCAGACTTGAGACATTTCTGATGAGGTATAAATCATGTCTCTATGTCAATCGGATATTGAGATCCTTTTTGACAGAAGACATTGTCATTTTATTAGTATAGATAGAAGATAGATGAATGCAATCATCAAAGTCTATGTAAATTACTTGTCCAGTCAAAATTCTTCTTGTTAAAGATTTATGCATTCATTTAACAGGTTCATTTGTCCTCTCCATTCCTGTTGTGATCTACCACACACTGGACACCGGATACTGGTATGGGCCACAGACCTACTGTATTGAATCATTTCCATCAATTCATGACCAACAGGCCTATATTCTCTACACATTTCTAGCTGTGTACCTGTTACCTCTCATCACAATCTGCATCTGCTATGCCTTCATGCTGAAAAGAATGAGCCGTCCAGTGGTGGAACCAGTGGACAATAACTACCAGGTGAGAAATATGTTTTCTTACCTCAAGACAGAATGTAGTATTATCCTGTGTGCTTATTCAGTATTAGTCTGGTCCTTGTTTTAATAAATTATTTACTCCAGCAAATAAATAAATTAGTTTTCCCCTTCAAATTCATGTTCTGCTGTTAATATTTTCCACCTCTGGTGTAGGGCACTATGTGGCTCCTTGCAGGGTACTATGAGGTTCCTGTTGCATGCATAATTATGTTGCTCATAAGGACTAATTCTTTTACCCAATAATCGGGGAGAAGTTTACACTATTTATATAGTTTTGAGAATCCAGAATTTAATAAATTAATCAATTCAGTCTTATCTTTGAAGTTGGTTTTCTCCTTATGAATAATAATACTAATCATCATTGTATTTGATACAGAGCTTTAAAGTATTGAGAACATCTCAAAGACCTTCACAAAATTTCTGTGAAGTATAGTGATTGTGTATTTGTAGATGAAAGCAACAGCCAATTTGCACAAGGCAGTGTCTCAAAAATAGCCATGATGTGAAGGACTAAAATGACCTGATTGTTGGCCAGAACACTGGGAGTTTCCACATATATACGGATGATACCCAACTCTATCTCTCTGCCTCTCTGACTCCAGGACGACCGCTGTCCTGACAGAATGTCTGTCAGAAATCAAGCTCTGGATGAGAGCTAACTTTCTTCAACAAGTCCAAGGCCCTCCTGATTGGCTCCCGTCAGAGCCTACATAACTGCGTCGCTGACAGCATCACCATCCATGGATGCACCCTCCACCTTACTAAGCCAGTCCAGAACATTGGCGTCTTGGTTTGAACCTCAACTATCCTTTCTATCCTTCCGTGCCATGACCCACTCTGCCTTCCCCCACCTCCACAACTTCGCCCGACTCCGCCACTGCTTCACCCCATAAGGCTGCCAAAACCCTCGTACACGCCTTCATTACATCAACGCTTGACTATGCAAACTCCTTGCTTGTCGGCCCCCCCAACTCCTCCCTCCACAGGCTGCAGATCATCCAGAACTCTGCAGCCATGACCTCTCCTGCACCAGGCTCCCTGACCATATCACCCCCATCCTCGCCTGACTCCACTGGCTTCCCATCACTCAGAGGATACAGTTCAAGATCTGGCCTTGATCCCCCTACTTCTGCAACATCCTAACCCCTACCACTCTCTCCGCTCAGCGGGCTCCAGCCTGCTTCACTTCCCCCACCTCGCCCACCCCACCATTGGCGGGAGGGCCTTCTCCCACTCTACCCCTACCCTCTATCACGCAGTCCCTTTGCCTCACCCCCTCCTTCAAGACCCATTTCAAGACCCTCCTCTTCAATCGTGCTTTTGATCACCCTGCTTCCCCCCAGCCCTCCACCCTCCCCAATCCCGAGTCCCAGCTCAGGTCCGAAACACTGACTATCCAGCACATGTAATTTTGTTGTTGTTGAGTTTAATTCCCTTCTCTTTTCAAATAATGCCACAATATCCCAAAATTCTGGATGCTGTAAAATATGGAAAATATACATAAATGGAGTAAATCTAGATCCAGGCGAAATTTCTCTCCTGCATTGACTAATAAGACACGGTTTCCACATCATTAGGACAAGTTCTCCTTATGGGAAATATAATTTAGCTTCCGTTTGAACAGCAATTCATAGATTGTCATAGATTGTACAGCATGAAAGCACTCTATTGGGCCCAACCAGTCGGTGCCCGTGTTTATTTTCCACATAAAGTTACCACCCATTCCTTAATCCCTCTCATAGCCTTCTATTCCCTCTCTCTTCTGTGTATATCTAGTTTCCTCTTAAATGTATCTGTACTATCTCCTTCAAACACTGCTTTGGGCAAGCGAGTTCCACATTCTCACTATCTTTTGGTGAAGAATTTATTCCTAATTTATGTTTTAGATCCTGTAGACACTATCTTATACTGTACTTGTGTCCCCTGATTACGACTTTCCAACAACTGTGAACAGCCTATTTATGACAACCTAATAATTCATATTGGTAATCCCAAAATCATAACTCTTGTGTATTAGAATAGGAAATTGTATCAGAACAAAATCACATTCAACACTTTATATAAGAGGTTTGCATATCCATAAAAGTTAATGTTAAGAGAGAAGTATTCATATGCGGGAGTAAAAAAGAAAATGTTTAAACACTTTATAGACCATCTTAATTTTTTTTTTACCTTTTTCTTAATCCCAGGTACAACTTTTGGCAGAGAGATCAGAGGCTGTCCGCTCTAAAGTTTCAAAGATGGTGGTTGTGATCGTCCTATTGTTTACAGTCTGTTGGGGTCCGATTCAGCTGTTCATCCTTTTTCAGGCATTTGACTCCAGCTTCAAGCGAAACTACAACACCTACAAGATCAAAATCTGGGCACATTGCATGTCTTATTCCAACTCCTCAATCAATCCTATTGTGTATGCCTTCATGGGGGCCAACTTCAGGAAATCTTTTAAAACTGTCTTTCCTTTCTTGTTCAAGAAGAGAGTCGGAAGCACTGGTGGGGCAGCTGTAAATACAGAGATGCATTTCTTGTCATCTGGGACGTAACCTTTACATGTGACTAGAAGCAAAAATGAACACATTGCATAGAGAGATTATGGGGATCAGTTGGCGCTTATTTCTAGATTTACTCTGTTTTTCTCAGCGCTTCAGAGCATTCAGACGTCTTAAATTTTGAAGTCAGATTTCTGTCATTTCTTTTAAAAACTGCAGAAAAGTAACTTCAAAGTCGAGACTAAATTCAACAACTTGCCAAATTTTGAACATGCTAAAAGTGCTACATCAATAGAGAAAATGTAGACCCAGGTGGAATTTCACCCCAGCTCCAATTATAGCATCCATCGTGCCTTTAATAGATTGAATTGTCCGCAATGGAAATGAAATCACACAGTTTTCTGATTTATTCCCACCTCCTTTGTTATAAATAATCGCAAATCTACCATCAGAATTAGTATTACACTCTCATAGATTGAGGATGTTAACTCTCACAAATGAGACAGATATAATAATTTGTGCGGGATTTGTATATTTTATCAGCATGCCTTTTTGGATAAAGGAACATTTAAGAGAGGTGTAAGGTACTGAATTTTTCCCCTCATTTTAAATGTTATAAGTGTATAATGACCAATTAATCCTTAGATTATCAGAAAGCCCCAGAAGACTGACAGTTTCTAAGATGATTGGCTTTAACTTCACACACTGATCCTGAATAAAATACTTCTAGCATTGGTTTCTTTCCATTACCCCTCATCACCCTGCTTTATATTGTAGAACTATTAGCCAGAGGTCGTCTGAGAACAAACGTGTTATGCAGTGCCTTCCTATATGACACAAGGTCCTAGTCTATAGGTGACACCATGTGTTTCATTCATGATGTCATTGCAAAACATATGTCCCCTTTAAATAGAAGGTTACCAAAGAGTCTTATTTTTCATAATTTCGTTAAGACTTATTAGACATTGTAATGGTATCACAACTTTTTAGTTACCCTGTAGTTCAGAGTAGCAAAGTTGTAAATTCAGTTGGCTGATCTCTAGAGGTTGCATTTGGAAATCATCAAAACCTATTCATTATCCCTGTTAATGCCCTGCAGTGAGAGAGGAGAAATAAATTTAATAAAAGTATTAAAGATACAGGACAATTTTAATGTTTCATGTAGGGTTAACGTCGAGGATCATAGGCTCCATCTGAGAGAAAAGGTCAGTTTTGAAGGCCGTGGTGTTGTTAACCTTTGAAATGTCGCAAGGATTATTGAAGTATTTGTGATTATAGGAAAGTTTGTTAAATATAAATGTTAATTTAGTTGGTTAAGTGTAAGTGATTAACATAAAACTTGGTTCAATATTTTTGCAAGGCACTTGAACAAAGCAGACTTTTTTTTCGAAAAAGGTCTTTTAATACATATTTTTGTGTGAACTTCATGTAATTTGAAAGCAGATTTGTTCTGTGGGAGTTATCTCCACTGGCAGATGGATTTGAGGCTGGCCAAAAAAAAAATTTTATGGCCCGGTTAGGCCAAATTCTACTTTAATCCTGGTGGGTCAATTCAGAGTTGCACTCTTTGGAAATTGCCAAAATGAAAATAGTAATATTACTGTTTTACACAGCATCTACTTTCAAGTTAGGGATGCTTCCTATTTGCCCACTGCCGCCAGTATAAATACAAAATAATACAGATATGTAACTCTAGAGGGCACTGCTTATTGGAAGAATAGTGCGTCTAATATTCTATTTGTATTTGAGTTCTTCGGTTCCCATGCTTAAGATTATGGCACCAGACTGCTTTTAAAACTTTAGACATACGACTGGGTCTACAAATGACATATTGCATGCTCCTTTTATGACCGATGTGCAATATAGACCCACGTGCCCTCAGGCTGCCGAAACCCTCATACGTGGAGTCCTGTAGCTCAGTGGTTAGAGCACTCGCTTTGCAAGTGAGAGACCTGAGTTCAATTCCAGGCAGAGGACGAAACCTTGGGCAAGTTTCCTTACCCCACACAGAGCCTAATAATAATCCCTCCAAAACCAAAAACAATAATAAATTGGTCATTTTCAATTCCACGACTGTTTGTAGGTCACTGCTGTGCGCAATTGGCTGCCGCGTTCGCCCACAAATATACAGTCAATTCACTTTACAGTATATTCTGTGAAGCGCTTTGGGACGTCCTCCCGACGTGAAAAGCGCTATATCAAATGCAAGGATTATTATTATACCTGCCTTCATTCCAACCATGGTTGACTACACCTACTCCCTGTTTGTTGGCCTTCCCAACTCTTCCCTCCACGAGCTGCAGGTCGTGTCCTCTCCCGCACCAGGCTCCATGACCCCATTACACCCTCCCTTGCCCGGCTCCACTGACTCCCCATTCCTCAGGATTGAGTTCAAAATTCTCATCCTCACCTTCAAGACCCTCCATGGCTTTGCCCCCTCCTACCTCTCCAACCTGCTAACCCCTTATCAAACTGTCCGCTCCCTCCACTCAGCAGGCTCTGGGCTGTTCCATGTCCCCTGCCCCACCATCGGTGATCAGACCTTTAGCCTCTGTGCCCCCACCCTATGGAACTCCATCCCACATTCCCTTCGCCTCGTTCCCTCCTTTACTTCCTTCAAGGCACACCTCAAGCCCCTCTTCGACCCTGCCAAAGGCCACCTTCTTATCCTCTCTGCCCTCCACCCTCCCTGATCCTAACCCCACCCCCCGCTTGGGTTCAGCGCCTTGGGACGTCCTCCCAACATGAAAGGCGCTTTACAAATGTAATTCTGTATTGTATTACATGACCTTTATGTGGAACTCTGGTCTATCTAAATGGTAGTGGTAATGGATTTCCGCATGGGCCAGACACTCAGCAGACAAAAAAAATTTTTTATAGCCTGGTTAGGTCATCTCTAAATTGGCGCAGAATTGGCAGTGATGCTGGTGACACCCAGAGGTTCAGTTATCTCGCTGTACATTGTATCTCTGCTAACAGACTACTGCATCAAAGATATTTTGTGTCTTTGTGGTTGCTTTTCTTTGTTAAGTGATGTGTGATATGTATTGCCACATGTTGTTGTACTTGTGCTTGGCAAATTATATGTAGGATAGTTCAGTCAGTCAGAGCAAAAGATTCTGGGTCAATTCACTCTTTGGAAATTGATAAAATAAAAAGCGAATGATTTGCAGTATTACAAACAGGATTCAAACCACTAATTTTGTGACTTCTGTTTACGAATATCTGAAAGCTTTCTAATTCACGATTCACAAAATTGGTCAATTACAGTATTTATAAATGCCCATGGACTACTTACGTGAACCTTACCAAATGGAGAAGAAAATTGTTTAGTTCATATTAATGATGGCGCTACTTGGCCCGCAAGGAGCAGAATAAACTCCTCCCTCAGAAGTTTTAGTCAATCAAAATAATTGTGAAGTTGTGAAAATCAGCAGGAATGGATCTGGAAATATCTGGAAATAATTAAACTGAACAGAAAATACCACTTTCATATAAAAAAGCAGCCGTTTAAAACATGTTGATATACATAAGATTTCCATTTAGTTTGCATTTTAGGCCTGCTTCTCTAAAAGCAATCAAGTTAAAGATTCCTCGAGAGATAAATCGTCCTCTTGTGAAGATGTGAATGTTAATGTGTTTTGATCAAGATATTAAAATGTGGCATAAATGAATACCTTACTGGGTAACCATTGAATATTTGAATATTTTTGTAAATCTGGAGTATTTGTTCTCTCTCTGTGTGAGGGTTTAGTTCTCTCTCTTTGTGTGAGGGTGTAGTTCTAAGTATGTGTGAGGATGTAGTTCTCAGTATGTGTGAGGGTGTAGTTCTCAGTATGTGTGAGGATGTAGTTCTCAGTATGTGTGAGGGTGTAGTTCTCAGTATGTGTGAGGGGGTAGTTCTGTCTCTCTCTCAGTGAAGGTGTAGTTCTCTCTCTTTGTGTGAGGGTGTAGCTCTCTGTATGTGTGAGGGGGTAGTTCTGTCTCTCTCTGTGAAGGTGTAGTTCTCTCTCTGTGTGAGGGTGTAGTTCTCTCTCTCTCTCAGTGAAGGTGTAGTTCTCTCTCTCTCTCAGTGAAGGTGTAGTCTCTCTCTCTCTGTGAGGGTGTAGTTCTCTCTCAGAGAAAGTGCAGTTCTCTCTGTGTGTGTGAGGGTGTAGTCTCTGTGTGTGTGTGTGTGTGTGAGGGTGTGTGTAGTCTCGCTCTCTGTGAGGGTGTAGTCGTGTGTGAGGGTGTGTGTAGTCTCTCTCTGTGTGTAGTCTCTCTCTCTCTGTGTAGTCTCTCTGTGTGTAGTCTCTCTCTCTGTGTGTAGTCTCTCTCTCTGTGTAGTCTCTCTCTCTGTGTGCAGCCTCTCTCTCTCTCTGTGTAGTCTCTCTCTCTGTGTGTAGTCTCTCTCTCTGTGTGTAGTCTCTCTCTCTGTGTAGTCTCTCTCTCTGTGTGCAGCCTCTCTCTCTGTGTAGTCTCTCTCTCTCTGTGTAGTCTCTCTCTGTGTAGTCTCTCTCTCTGTGTGCAGCCTCTCTCTCTGTGTAGTCTCTCTGTGTGTAGTCTCTCTCTGTGTGTAGTCTCTCTCTCTCTGTGTAGTCTCTCTGTGTGTGTAGTCTCTCTCTCTCTGTGTAGTCTCTCTGTGTGTAGTCTCTCTCTCTCTGTGTAGTCTCTCTCTCTGTGTAGTCTCTCTCTCTGTGTAGCCTCTCTCTCTGTGTAGTCTCTCTGTGTGTAGTCTCTCTCTGTGTAGTCTCTCTCTTCTCTCTCTCTCTCTCTCTCTGTAGTCTCTCTCTCTCTCTGTGTAGTCTCTCTCTGTGTGTAGTCTCTCTCTGTGTGTAGTCTCTCTCTGTGTAGTCTCTCTCTGTGTGTAGTCTCTCTCTCTGTGTAGTCTCTCTCTGTGTGTAGCCTCTCTCTGTGTGTAGTCTCTCTCTCTGTGTGTAGTCTTTCTCTCTCTCTGTGTAGTCTCTCTCTCTCTCTCTGTGTAGTCTCTCTCTGTGTGTAGTCTCTCTGTGTGTAGTCTCTCTCTCTCTCTCTCTCTCTGTGTAGTCTCTCTCTCTCTCTCTCTCTCTCTCTGTGTAGTCTCTCTCTGTGTGTAGTCTCTCTGTGTGTAGCCTCTCTCTCTCTCTGTGTGTAGTCTCTCTCTCTGTGTGTAGTCTCTCTCTCTCTCTGTGTAGTCTCTCTGTGTGTAGCCTCTCTCAGTGAGGGTGTAGTCTCTCTCTGTGTTGTCTCTCTGTGTGTAGTCTCTCTGTGTGTAGCCTCTCTCAGTGAGGGTGTAGTCTCTCTCTGTGTTGTCTCTCTGTGTGTAGTCTCTCTGTGTGTAGCCTCTCTCAGTGAGGGTGTAGTCTCTCTCTGTGTTGTTCTCTGTGTGTAGTCTCTCTGTGTGTAGCCTCTCTCAGTGAGGGTGTAGTCTCTCTCTGTGTTGTCTCTCTGTGTGTAGTCTCTCTGTGTGTAGCCTCTCTCAGTGAGGGTGTAGTCTCTCTCTGTGTTGTCTCTCTGTGTGTAGTCTCTCTGTGTGTAGCCTCTCTCAGTGAGGGTGTAGTCTCTCTCTGTGTTGTCTCTCTGTGTGTAGTCTCTCTGTGTGTAGCCTCTCTCAGTGAGGGTGTAGTCTCTCTGTGTTGTCTCTCTGTGTGTAGTCTCTCTCTCTGTGTGTAGCCTCTCTCAGTGAGGGTGTAGTCTCTCTCTGTGTTGTCTCTCTGTGTGTAGTCTCTCTCTGTGTGTAGTCTCTCTCAGTGAGGGTGTAGCCTCTCTCTGTGTAGCCTCTCTGTGTGTAGCCTCTCTCTCTGTGTGTAGTCTCTCTGTGTTGTCTCTCTGTGTGTAGTCTCTCTCTGTGTGTAGTCTCTCTCAGTGAGGGTGTAGCCTCTCTGTGTGTAGTCTCTCTCTGTGTGTAGCCTCTCTCTCTGTGTGTAGCCTCTCTCTCTGTGTTGTTCTCTGTGTGTAGTCTCTCTCTGTGTGTAGTCTCTCTCAGTGAGGGTGTAGCCTCTCTCTGTGTAGCCTCTCTGTGTGTAGCCTCTCTGTGTAGCCTCTCTCTGTGTGTAGTCTCTCTCAGTGAGGGTGTAGCCTCTCTCTGTGTAGCCTCTCTGTGTGTAGCCTCTCTCTCTGTGTTGCTCAGGTGATGGTGGGTTTGGGTGGGGGGCGGAGGGCCGCCCGCTCGGTGCCGGTGCTGCTGCTGTTGCTGGCGCTCGGGGCCTGTCTGGCCTTCCTGGGGCTCAGCTCCTGGGTGTGGAGGGCGCGGGGAGCCGAGCTGCAGCTGCGGCTGTCGGGGTTGGAGGCCAAGTCACGGAGGGCCGAGGTCGACAGGAGCGCGGCCGAGCTCCAGAGGCACCAACTCCAGGTCCACCTGCACACCCAGGCCGAGGAGCACCGCAAGGAGGTGGCCGAGCTGTCCGACCTCCACCACCAGCAGCGCCAGGCAGAGGCCGACATCTGCCGAGATGATAAGGTAACCGGGGGGGGGGACATGGGGGGGAGAGGGGGGAGACATGGGGGGGAGGGGGAGACATGTGGGGGGGGGAGACATGGGGGGGAGGGGGGAGACATGGGGGGGGAGGAGGGAGTGACATGGGGGGAGGAGGGGGAGGGGGGAGACATGGTGGGGGGGAGACAGGGGGTGGGGAGGGGTGACATGGTGGGGGGAGACGGGGTGGGGAGGGGTGACATGGTGGGGGGGAGACGGGGTGGGGAGGGGTGACATGGTGGGGGGGAGACGGGGTGGGGAGGGGTGACATGGTGGGGGGGAGACGGGGGTGGGGAGGGGTGACATGGTGGGGGGAGACAGGGGATGGGGAGGGGTGACATGGTGGGGGGGAGACGGGGTGGGGAGGGGTGACATGGTGGGGGAGACGGGGTGGGGAGGGGTGACATGGTGGGGGGGAGACGGGGTGGGGAGGGGTGACATGGTGGGGGGAGACGGGGGTGGGGAGGGGTGACATGGTGGGGGGGAGACGGGGTGGGGAGGGGTGACATGGTGGGTGTGTTTGCCTGTTGCACACATTCCTTCACATTATTATTATTGTACGGTTTCCTGGTTGTGTCTCAGGGCGGTGCTGCTGCCTCTGTTGCTTCACACCTGTTTGCTGTCTTGAGTCTTCACATAAGGAAACAAATAATGTTTAATATCAGGCTGTGTGTGTAGGGGGTGGGTGTATGGGTGGGGGTGTGTGTGGGGTGGGGGGGTAGGGGGGTGCGTGGGGTGGGTGTATGGGTGGGGGTGGGTGTAGGGGGGTGTGCGTGGGGTGGGTGTATGGGTGGGGGTGGGTGTAGGGGGGTGTGCGTGGGGTGGGTGTATGGGTGGGGGTGGGGGGGCTTATCGTTTGATTTTAGAGCCTGTCCTTGTGTGAGGCGTCCTACAGCTCAGTGGTTAGAGCACTCACTTTACAAGCGAGACACCTGGGTTCAATTCCAGGCAGAGGGCGAAACCTTGGGCAAGTTTCCTTACTCCACACACCTAATAATAATCCCTCCAAAACCAAAAACAATAATAAATTGGTCAATCCATGACTGTTTGTGGGACACTGCTGTGCGCAATTGGCTGCCGCGTTTGCACACAAATATACAGTCAATTCACTTTACGGTATATTCTGTGAAGCGCTTTTGGACGTCTAGAAGACGTGAAAAGCACTATATCAAATGCAAGGATTATTATTATATATTATTATTATAACTCTTCCTGATTTCTTTAACATTAGATTATTAACTTTTTAAAAAAAATTCTTTGAAGCACTGAGTTGTTGGGGACAAAGAGCTGAAGAAATACCAGAATACAGTTTTTTTTCTGCTGGATATGATTTATTTAGTTGTAAGGTATTGTGTGTTTAACTGCTCGATGCGACTTAATTTGTTGCATAGTATCTGTCGTGTGTTTGCAACGTTTATCATCACTGATCCATTTATTATCACATCGATTATAAAATCTTGCTTCTCCCCCTGCCTTCAAAAGCCTGTTTTAATTTTTTTTGCTTTGGCAGTTGTTTTAAATTAGTTAGATATTAGCTTGGCTTACTTTGAGGTGCCAAGATATACAACTTTATGACTCCCGAAGCACGAGTGTTACCTTCTGTATATATTTTCTCCTACCTCCTCTATGTTCTCTGTCATATTTTCGTGATGCATGTGAGAAAGGTGTTATAGAAGTTTAATTTATACATCGATTGCTGCTTGTTCCTGAAAATGATGTTCTCGCTTTACATTTGGAAATGTATATTTTTTAAAATAAACTGTTTGGGATGCCAATGCCTTATCTAGAGTTTCCGTAAAGTATAATGATTTTCTAGGTCCAAAGGTCCTGATTCTGGCTTTCAGTTCATGTTCTGGGCTGATGCTTCAGTGCAGCATTAGGAGAGCGCTGAATTATTGGAGATGTCGTCCTTAGGGTGAGACATCCTGTCTGCCTGAGCAGGTGGAACGTGAATGAACCTATAAGACTGTTTGATACTAACAGTCCGTCTGTCAATTGGTAATTCACATGGCTGCAAGGATTAGTAATAATAAAAAAAACTTTCCATTCATATAACACTTTATCACATTTTCGAGACATCTCAAAGGGCTTCACAGAATATATTCTAAAGTGAATTGACTGTATATTTTGTGGGCAAAATGCAGCAGCACACAGCAGTGTCCCACAAATAATCGTGGATTGAGTGACCATATTATTATTTTATTGAAGGGATTATTACCCCCAGAAAAGCAATCCACCAATTGACTAACAACCGGGTTCCTATTTACTGCCAGGTAAACAGGCGTGTGGAGTAAGGAAACTTGCCCAAAGTTTCACCCTGCTGAGAATCAAACCCACGTAGAAGACTGGAGAAATTGCAGAGTAGAGGAAATCAAGTTTTCCAAATTATTAATGGTTTGGATAGAGTGAATGAAGAGAAACTTTTTCTTTTATTGATGCTACTAACAAGTGGGTATAAATTGAGGATGATCGTCAGGGGAAAGAATAGGGAAAGTCGGGAGAACTTGTTTTAGGTGTCATCTTACCTTGGGTCAGAAGATTGTGGGTGCTTTACCAATATTATACACTATAATGTTATGATGCAGGACCGGAAAAACAATTGTGCTCTATCCAAGCTCTCCGAAGTTAAACAAAAACTCATACTTTGTTTTCTCTCATACTCAGTAATTCAATTCTTTACCAAATTGCTAACTAATTTGCTTTGACTTAATCTGCCTCCTCCATGGGTGGCCTGTCACATACTCTTCTCTCTGTGCAAGATTAAATCTGAACTGTGCTCACTTTTTTCTCATGACCTGGAATCTGTGTTTTACCACCATTTGTTGACCATGTGAAACATATCATTCGGGTTGAATTGATCCGTGCTCTTTAGGATTTTAAGTACTTAAATAAGATCTTCTTTTGGCTTCTCTTCTTCAGTGTGAATATTCTCAGCTTCTGTAGTCTTTCCTTGTAACTCTGCTGTGAACCTGCTGAATTAATGCAGATAATGCCATGCTATACTGTTGGCAAATGTGGAAGCCAATTTGTGCACAGCAGTGTGTGTCCCACAAACGTCCATGAAGTGAATGACCAATTTTATCTGGGGGATTGTTGGCCAAGACACTGGGAGGAAACTACTGTTTCTTTGACTAATGCCATGGGATCCTTAAAGTCCACCTGCTTAGGCAGTCTGGATCTTGGTTTAATGTCTTACCCGAAGGATGGCACCCGAAACAACACAGCATGTTTCCTGTACTCCATTGGAGTGTCAGCCTAGACTAAATCACTTCAATGTCTCAATGTGGGGCTTGAGCCCACAAAGTTCAGACTCAGGCAAGATTAGGACCAACTGAGTCATTCTGGCAGTAAGATGGGCAGTAAAATATTGAGTATTCTTCATAACTTACAATCTATGAATTCAATAGGCTGGGTGGCATACAGCACCTTGCACAATTACTATGTGGACTATAAAGACAGCCCTTAAGGATTTGCACTTAGAGCGCAGTGAAACCAACCACTAGCAGGGAAAATATATGGATCTCCTGGAAACGAGTAGTTTTTAAATAGCTGCCTATGTGGGTGAATTTATAATGTTATCTTTGACTATTACATACACCAGCTTTTCTTGTTAATAATATGGTTAATAATGAGTGATGGGACTTTCTAACTCCTTTCCCATATTTGAGGAATGTGGCTGCTGTAGTTTACCCCGGTAAAACTGTTGCATTGCTTTTGAGAGCATTGCCTGGCAAGCGTTCTCGCTGTTTGTCTTGCTAGGAAAATCCTACCTTTGAAGGCTTTGGCTTGCAGGGTAACAGGAACCGAGTGGGAAGAATCCTTATCCCAGTGACTGCCTCTAAGAGGATTGACTTGATTCCAATATTCTGTTACTAAGCACATTACCTCGTAGCTATCTTAGCTCAAAGGAGACCCTGCTTACCAACCCCACCCTAATGCTGAGAGACCTGTAGCTCTACTCTTCCAGCATTGGAACTATTGAAAGGCCCATGTATAGAACATAAAACTGTCCTTTGAAGAGTCGTCTCTTTTGAGACATCCTGTTTCCTTGTTTTGGGTGGAACCAGTGTGTTTATGTCATAATGAACATGGTTATGGACTTTAGCAGATTTAGTGGCTTTGCAACTGATTCAACAGTACCAATAGCAATTATCGCCTGCTGCCTCAATCTCACCTTTAATTGGGTCCAAAGTACACAATGGTGCAAATCAATAAAATCTAAATTTGTTTTAACCAAGAAATGTAGGTTTCATCCTAAATCCCTGCACTGCCCATCTAAAACATTGTATGAATCCTCCCTTTTGTCTTAAAAAAGTGTTTTCAGTACTATGTCATAGTCAGTTGCATTTCTACAGTCCTTCTTTCAGTCATGTTTGCCCCCATTGGAGTAAGTTGTGCATGTTTGCACAATGTGAATACAATGGTACAGTCTAGTCTAGTCGCCAAGACTTATTTGCCTGTGGATCGGCATCTTTTGTTTACAGACCAGAATTACTGCTTTGAAAAATTAGTAAATTATAGTTTACTAGGCAATCACCAATGAATGAGGTTGCTAAATCCTGGTATTTAATATCGTGGTCCGTAGATTGTTCAGCCATCTAGGCACAAGTAGATGTTACTGCCTGTGTCATTCGATGCTCACTTTGCAGAAACTCCAGCTGTGCAGTTAGAGTTTGCCTTTGCCTCCCTGCTTCAGGTTACAGATTAGTGAGTGATTATTTATGATGACCAGGTGTCTTGTCAGATTTCAAAAAGGAACACAATTATTCCCATAGTAAAATCATCACTCATCCTTATTTATATTTTCTGGTCCATCATTGTTTATTATTATTATGCTTATAAGGATTGACTTCATGTACTTTAAAATACACGATTCTTTGTACTTGGCTCCAAATAGCCTAGCAAACCAAAGCCCCAATAGGTAGGGTCGTTCTAGCTTGATAAGCAGCAGCATGCTTTCTAGTGCTCTGCAATGACAAACTGTT